CTGGTCACTGCCGTCTTCCTGGATGGGGACCCCGAGACGGGCCACATCAATGGCTAGAGACGTTGTCAGATATGGCCCCGTCGCGCCCTCAATGGCGCTCGTGCATGAAAGCTATTGCCTCCAATACATAGCTCCTTTTCCAACCCCCCTTCACTTGACAGCCCACTGACAGTGCTGGATTTATGCACCAATTTATCAGCTCCCGCCTGCAATGCGCAGCTGCCTCCCCCTCCCCCCAAACCATCGGTGAACGAAACTGCGGCAGCTACAACCACTGTACGACCAGTACGTGGTTATTACAGCTGACAATGATGATGATGATGATGATGATGATGATGATGATGACAACGAGTGGACGAGCGTTGTCTATGGTGAATACGGCGGCTTTTTCCAAATATTGTTTCACATTATTCAATGCAGCTTGAAATGGTGAAGATCTGATTTTGGTCGGTTTGGTGAATTTCATCCGAAATGCATGGGATCCAGTGTGCAATTTATGGTTTGACTGTAATCGATGACCATGCGTTTCGTTTGCCTTTCGTTTATAGTAACGAGAACCTGGGCTCGCCAAGGAGAGTTAGACGGTTCAATGATTTCGTCTGCTAGTAGCTTCCGAATCTCCGTTTCGATAAACACCGTATCCGCTAGATAGTTGCGATGAGATTTGGTAGCAGTCGGAGTACACCCAGGGGTAATATTGTCAAACAAAAAGGGGGAAATGACTTTCGCTGGTCTCAGTGTGCATACGGCCGTTTATCCGTGAATGGTGTGACCGCGCTTTGGTGTTGGCTGAGAAAATCCAGGCCAAGAATGACGCCCGAACACGATTTGGAAAAGAATGCGAGTTTGAACCTTCGTATCGCGTGCTTTTGTTCAGTACGGTAGCATAAAGTTGGCCGCTAGTATCGCAAGATAAATTCGTTGAAGCAATTGAGACGGCACTCTTAGAGGATGTCTTTGTCCAACCATATTCAGTGCGATGNAATGTAACTTTTGCAGCTACTAGTATCTATAAGCATGAAATGGGATATTCACTGGAACATCAGCTATTGGTTTGGAAAGTCCAATGGATGAGCAACCAGGGTCCACCGACGATGTGAACCCGGCTTTGATCGACAAACGTTGTAAATGGCTTTTCTGGCGGCAGGAATGACAGGGAAATTCACTAGCCGAGCATTGTGAACGAATGTGCCTGCCGTTGCCACAGAAGAAGCAAGATAAGGATGTGCTTGCAGTCGCGTCATTAGAGTCAGTCTGAGAGGTAAGTGCATCACGAACAGGTTAGATACATAGATGCAGTACCGCAGGGGACATGAGAAGACGAGTCGTATGAAAGCAACTGTTGTTGAGCACTTTCAAGCAGACGTGCCTCGCCAAACGCTTGTTGAAGCATAAGCGTGTGTTATTCTAGTAGTCGTTGACGAACGGAGTTAGACTGCAAGCCTGTGATAAAAGCGTCTTGAATAGCCTTTTCCTAATGTTCATCAGCAGAAACCGCACGACAGTTGCAGTCCTTGGCAAGATAACGTAATTTTTGCATAAATGCGTCGACTACTTGACCCGGTTCTCGTTTGGTAGTGGCCAGAGCCTGGTGGGCAAACACTTCATTTTTGGGTATAATGTACATCGTTCCGAGTGTCTGGATGGCCTCATCGTAAATAGTACATTCACGAACATGTTGATAGACAGACGGAGAAAGAAAATTTACCAAGTTTTCTTTTCTCAACGTTTGGGAGTCCGACACATGAGAGGAAGTTCGTTAGTGTTTCGTGCCGATAGATCCATTGTTTTGAAGCAGAAGAGGATTGGGGGTCGGTGTCAAACCGTTCTGGGTGAAACAGTCGTTTCCTTGTATTTTGCTAGAAGATTAGATTGTTGTGTACTCGAATGGTTGAGCCAGAAATAGAGAACGGTGATTGTCGAATGGTTGGCTTTAATCTTCTAGCAATTTCAGTACATCAACTAAGACATTAGGAAACATAGTTTAATGAATAGCAAACTAACATTTAACACAACAGTATGTAACATTATGAATGCACTTTATGCGAACTCCTCTGGGCATACCCGGCAAGCTTTCACCCGGGGTTCACCATGTTCAGTGGTAGGAGACAAGGCAGTCCTCTCTAATCTTTCCTCTTCAACTTTGTCATTGATGTGCTACTTGAAATCCCTCTGCCTGCCTCTACGGAAGTTGAAATGCTCCCGGGACATTCGCTCACAAATTGTAAGTATGCGGAACATATTGCTCTCCTTGTGTCAGGTCCTTCAAGGATGCAAACTTTTAGATAACGTAAATAACTCTGCCGTATGGTTCGGCACATACACCTACAAACTGTAAAATGGTGGTACAAGAGTGGGTCTGATCAAACCGATGCCTCATGCTTGCAGGTGAGCCAATCGACGTGGTAAATAAATTCCTTTACCCGGGCAGTTGTATAGATTCCGGTGGACTGACTGGAGATGAGATTACCTCTGGAATTGGGAGGGCCAGGGCACCTTTTTCCAAACTCTGACCCCTATGGCGCCGACGTTTGTCCGTCGAGGGCAGCGTTCACACTGTGGTGTTGTGACCCCTGCTGTTTTGTGGATCAGAGATGTGGTTTCGTAGACGACGTACGAAAGATATCAGTGTTTGAACATCGGTGTCTCCGAAGTATTGGTCAGGTCTGGTGGAAATATCGGATTAGCAATGCGGGTACACACCAGATAGCGTTTCGCGATAGATAGATTACTCACGCTGGTTGGGACATGTAATCCTCATGCCAGAAGACCGTCAGCGTCGCATAACTCTTTTCGCACAGCCGTATGCTGAATGGAAGCGACCGGGAGGTGGACAGTGTATGACTTGACAACGAAGTATGAAAACCCTAACCAGTAAGCTGAGTCGGGTCGACAACTGCCGCCTCGCTTGATGGTGACCCCGGGACTCAACTCACCATGGGTTAATGACGCTGGCAGAAATAGCCCAATCGCGCAGTCACATGCACTCGTGTATCAAAGCTATTGCTTTCAACGCGTACGTACCCAATTCCTGAACTAATTGAACATGTCATCGCCTCCTCCTCTCCCGCACTCTGTCACTCTCCGGTGATTTGTATCAGCTGGAACTAGTCTGACTATGGTACACGGTTTGCAGCTGATAAATTGATTGTTTGATTCGCCACGGCCTTCGAGAGTCGAGTACCATGAATAGGGTGCATAAGCTTGTAGACAGTCAGGGGAACGGTTGTGTCTGAATCTACACTGGTGGCCATTCAGGCGATTGTTCTCTTCTAAATTTACCAGGATATCATTCATAGGGTTTGGTTTAAAAAATTGAGACAAATAAAAACATATAGAGATAGGCTGGCAGCTGTCCGGGTCCGATCTGGAACCACGTTTCGGAATGGCTAGTCGGTAGGACATTTTCAAGTGATTAGAAGGATACCTGTGTTGAGGGAAAGAAAAGTCGTAAGATTATTAGGTAATGGTTCTACCCGGATCTGGAGGGGAAAGGGAGCTTCCAAATGTCGAACGTCTGTATTTAGTCGGATGGAAATATGTATGATAGAACTGTTTGTCCTCTTTTATAAAAGCGGAAAATAGACGGACGTATCACCAAGTAACAAATCGGTCAACTTACCAGTGGACCGAGAAGGGTCGTTTGAAGTGGAATGTTTCTATCGATATGAGTTTAAAAAAAGTGGTGCATATTCTTATTTTGCTGTTTTTCTCCAGAAGAATTGCTAGATGGAGGGCGTGGAATGTGGAGTAGAAACGTGATGGACAGAGTAATGGCGCAATGTCCGGGATATACCAGTGGGCAAATGAGGTGATAGGACATGGAGAAAAATGTGTGGCGAACAAACCCATGATTCGTGGAATGTCACTGGCACGGCCTAGAGCGTGAGTGCTTAAAGATGATTGTGGATAAACAATTGGTTGCAAAGAACAACTCTTGTCCTTGTTTTGCGTGGTCGGTGTTAGAGAAGATCCTGAGCCCTTCGGAAATGTGGACGTTGAAGCTACCATGGAATGCAATTTCGGAGGAGTCTGATGGCTGGATCCAACTGAGATTGCTCACTGTTCGCGATGCACACTATATATATTTGTTGAGGAGACGCAAGCATAATTTGGGCCGAAACTGGAAATTCTGGTTGTTATTAACAAAAAGATGAAGGGCCGGAGACGGTGAGCATGTACACCACAGTTGAACCCGAAATGGTCACGGAATCGCAGATACGTAGACTTAGTGTCTTTTTGAAATCTAAGTCTCTTAAAAAGAGGACGGATGGGAAGTCATAGGAATAGTTGGTAGATGTGTTAAAATTCTTCCTCGAGCCACTGTTTCAGAAACAGATGAAACCAAATTATCCTGGTTCATAGCTGACAGACTGAACTGAACTAAACCCGTCGGAATGTAGATGGGCAGCTTGTAGGGATGGATCATTCACCGCTACCGAACCCGAGGATGAGTGGCGAACTATACCGTACTTATATAGATTAGACAGTTGTAAGTCTAAGCTATCAATCTGCTTCAGTGTATCGGCTACGACAGACCTCAACGAGACATTCAACGATGTCCTTTCCACAATGTCATCCAGGAGCTTCTTTTCGCTACGATTAGTTGACTCCTACCGTTTTTAGTATTTAATTCTATGTGTCTTTTTATGCTAGCTTGTCATCTCTCTGTCCTTATTCCCACAGATGACGTTCATTGGGAGCGTATTTGGTGACGGAACGTGGTACCATACATGGTCCGAACTCTTCCCGTTGAAGCGTAATGGAGCAGCTCCAGTGCATAACAGCAACTACCACATTGACAATCAAACACAACGTTTCTTAGAGAGATACTTTGATGCGTTCTACATGGCAGATGTTGGCGGTGAGCCATTCAACGATATATGCATTTTACGACATAGCAACACACTCTGTACCGTTGGTTTGGCACCAGCTCACCACTTGTTCATGGGCTGTAAAGAACAGCCTTTGTCGGTTGATGGGAACTCTCTGACACCGCACAACTTACTTGGTGTGGACTTCAAAGTATGTTAAATTATCATTACGTGGTTTGAAAGTTGCTTCTTCATCTGTAAGGTAACATTAATAATGTCCGATTTAGAACAGCTAGGAAATTTAACTTTGCACCCAATTTCATTTTTCAAAAGTACTCTTATGCTATGTGTACACTTTATCATTTTGAAGTGCCTAAACTGCATTTCCATGGGGTAATATTGGTATGGAGTGAAATACGTGCTTATTACGAAATGTTTTCCAGCCAGGACGTAGAAATGAAACTCTTTCAATGCATAGTTGCCTACCTTAATCTTCAATACGTATAATCTGTCGTTCGTAACGTCGTAGCTCCTACGAAGTAGCCTCGTGGACTGTGGTTTTCAATGAATCCTTACTTTGGTTCCGAATGAAGTATTAGATGGGCTATCAAGTTGCCCTTATTTGAGTTTGGGAAGTGTCCCTGTAATGCTCTCCGCTGCAGGTCCACATTCTTACGTAAAGACTGATGTTGTAGCTTTTAATAAGTGCGACCGAGAACCTCGAACTTCACGACTTTGGATCCAGTTCTGGCTAAAGCGAGGTTGAATGTGAATCTCAGAGCACCCTGAACCACTATCGGTGGGCGGGCTAGTTTATTTCTTTCCGGCTCTTTGGTTGATCATTCTAGGATGCCAGGAGTGTGGCTTACAGCGATTTTTGTAAGGGTTGGTTCATTTCCTACCTCCTGAAATTATTGAACCAAATATTACACAGACTGATCCTTAAAGCAACTCGTTTACAGAAACGCACACTTACTGTGAGTAGCCCTGTGTGAAGATGTCTTGGATCGCAACTATCTGAGCAAGGTTGCCGGTGACTCAGGTCTTCTGATTTAGCGGCTAGTATACGCATTTTCTTCTGAAGTGGTGAACTTTTAACTATATGAGTAATGATGAATGTAATGAATGTGCTAGTCAGTTTGAACTATTTCCCAAAACATGGTTGTTACGTAGGCAAGTGAATTCCCAGTGTGACAACATGCCGTGTGATCGATTACGCTGTGCAGATGTTTCATATATGATAGTAATTCGCAGGATAGGTCAGTCTCCGGGGTGATGATTCTGTGAGCGATATGGGTTGAGGGCATTTATCCAACTGCCTTGCGATAAACATTATCGAAGGAATACGTTGCCTTACCTCAAGTTACCGTACCCTCAGGTGAATATCTTTCTGTTAAAAATGTCACGTTCCTGCTGCCTGGAAGTGTTATGCTTCGTTCCTCAGTAATTTCCCATTTCACCTCTGTTTACGTTTTAGAGGTCTTGCATAATTTTCTGTTCTCATTATTTTCTTTATCTTTCTGGTGAGGTAACAGATAAGTGACAAGGTCCACCGCCTTCACAACAAAATGAGTGGTCGGCGAAAACACGGTGGACAGACGGTCGGCCGGGCCCCGAACGTCTTGGCGTTTGCTTTGCGATCGATCCGTGAGGCCCAAGCTTATGTGTGGCATTCTTGGTCGTCTGATATGAATGAATAAAGGTTTATCGTATCCTCCGATTCATTCAGGTGAAGGACTCTCCTCTTCTTCGGATTTCGTCTCCGTCTCTTTCCCAACGCCCTTGGCACCATTGTTTGATTCTGCGGGCTTGACTGAACAACAGGTCGGACCATATCTGTGCATCATAGCTCCTTCACGCTTGCCCCGTGCTTCTCGAAAGCGCCCTTTTACAAAAAGCTCTGCTGAACCCTCAGATACTTCATGCCGCGTTGAGCCTAACCATCCTGAATGTTCAAGGGAAGATGGCTCAGAAAGCGATTGTTCGGATTCAGACAATGACAGTCTTTCATATCTGCGTAGACTAACTGGCGAACGGGTGCTTAACTGGGTGCAATACAGCAAATTGAGGGGATTATAGTATGGTGTCAGGGTTTTTTTTGTGTCAGACGGCTTATTGTTACTATTTATTTCAATGGCGTACTCCTTTAGAACGAACATTTGTTCTGACGGTTATCTTTTCAGTATCCTCTGATGGAGATCCTTGGGTTAATGGGTTCCGTTTTTCAGTGAACGAACTTTGTCAGAAGTTGGTGTAATAATATTTTCGGTCTAACTAGAAATCGAATTTTGGAGGTGAAGAATGTACAAGTGAGATGTTTTACTTGTGAACTAATTACTGAGGAGTACCCGTCCGTTTGGATGATGCGTTTCTACCTTGATCGGAGCAGCATGCTTTTTGAAAGACCAGAGCATGTGTTCCAAGACCGAGAGCCTGCTGAAGTTGATATTTGGTGTATGCACTTCTATATATTGACGAATAAATCCGAAGTGCCAGTTGTTTTCTGAAATAGTGCAACCGACAGATTTGTTGAACGTAGTTTAATCCGTCGTTCGCACTGCGAACAGTATTCTACTTAACCGAACTGCAAAATTGAAGCTCAGTGACAGCGATAGTTTACTGTTTTATGAAATTTCTGGTTTGCATTATGGAGAGGGGTGATACAGATTAGCAGCAAGGACATAGCTTTCGTGAATGGGGTGTTTGTCTCATACATTAAATGGGGTACATTATTCTGTGGTTCCGCGAATCTGGAACAGATAAGCTGGTAACTTCTACTCGTCGAGTTTCTCCGTACGAGTGTCTTAATATCTTGAGGGGTCCGGCAACACATCTAGTTCTTCCATGGAGGCGTGCTTGGGAATTGTGTGCATCTGGTAGGCAGCATGAGTAATATCACTTTCAAATTGGGAGTATTGCTCACGTCGCCAGGACCCGAGTGACATCTGCAAAACCCTGCCATGTGTGATGCGGGCGAGATATCAGTTTGCCGTTGAACGGGCAATCATGTGAATCCTCGGTTTGACCACCGGTGTCTATCAAACATTACAGATGCTGCTTTCGAAAAAGGCACCCGGACAGCCTTCAGTGGTGTATTTGTGGTTTTGTCAACCAATCTATGTATCTGAGCATAGTTTACCATCCCTTTTTTGCCTTGGGAGCTATGACACATACAGGCCTTAGTGACCGAAGAAAGGGGAATCTACCTGATACCAGAACTGGCAGAGGTGTGGTGTATATGGTTTTGACAACTACTCATCAGGGTTTAACGAAGCAACACTTGCTTAGACTACACAGTATCGGTGACGTGCGCTAATCATTTGTGTTCGTCTTCGCAGTTTGAATTGATGATTAAAACAAGGTCAGTTTACACCGTTGATGAAATGCATGTCATTCGCGTATAAGTTTATTCGGTCCGGTTATCTTACCTTCTCTTGTTTTGACGCCCATATCTTGGGATCCGATTCTCGACGTGATGCATTGTTGGGGAACCATGGCCTTCGAAAAATGAGCCTGTGTAATCAACTCGGCACGGATTTGATTGATTTAATAAATGATACAGCCGCTTGTTCACTCAGGACAACATGGGCTGATAACAAAAAATGGTCGCACAAACACATTTAGACCAATCGTCTAAGGGTTTGATGGTGTTCGCTCCCACCGCTTTCAATGCAATAATCGGTTTGAAATTATCCTCATCAAAGATAGCAACATCGGTCTTAGTGCTGATGGCTGCGTGCTGCACAGCTAGTTTACTTTATACTTAAAGTGAAATGAGAGAAAAGTGTAAGGAGGAAACTGGCACTTGTCTAGCTCATAGTGAGTCGGCTGTTTGCAAACATCGTGGGTTGTGAACATGATGTGCTTTAATACTAGGCTGCGTCCTCTTAAAAGCACCTAAATCCACCACAACAAAAACATGTGTATGCAACCTGCAGGAATTTGAGTGCGTTAACGAAATTATCAAGGATAGCTTACAACAGTCGGTTTTTTGCCGATTCTTACTCACTGCAGGGGGGCATAAATATATCGCATACGGAAGTGTGGTTGGACTGGGAAGGTAGATGTGAGGAACACGAACGGAAATGTTTGAGTACCATTTTGCATTTTAGGGCGTTTCGCAAACAATAACTTGGTTTTCTTCCAACTTTGTTATGACATTCCAGAGGGTGCGATAACTGCGTAGCTCAAAAGCCCCTGGGTGTTTCTAAACAGCAGTTGAAATTACAGTAACAAATTAGGCGGAAGACCTTCACTGAACAATTGGCGATGCAAATACTCACGAGTGGACAAGTATTTCATACCAGCGGTAAAGTAACGTTGGCCCTGAGGAAGATTTCACATAAAACCGCTGTTCAGTATTGGGTGAACGAAATGAAGCTGCTTAGAGCGAACAGATGTAGGCATCACTCGGAACATCTGTGAGCCATTGCGAAAATTCTATACTGTGTCTACCGAACCAGCAACGCTCAATCTGAAAATGCCATAGAAGATCAAATGCCTCTGAAACGAGTAGGTGCATATCTACCTGGTTCCGTAATGTAGAGGGTATTTAATAAAAGGGAGCCCGTACTCACATGACGAACACTTCTATTTTCTGAATTCCGAAGCACAAAGTTTAGACAAGTGAGCTTCGTAGTGGAACTAAAAAAGAAATGAGCAAGTGTCATAAATGTACCTGTAAAAGTTCACCCAGCAGTATTGTGTGTTTGTGGACATGGTAACTAGAACAGGCCAGGCTGCTCAAAACACTCAAAAGTATATAAACCATTTATTTTAAAGATACTTGAATGTATACCGCATAAAGATCCGTACGTCGGTAGATGCCGAACGACCGATAACGCCAAATCAAGACGGAGCGCTGATAGTAGTTAACTCGGCGGTTGGAATACTTCAATCCACGCATAACACACGAGGATTTTCAGACGAAGAAGCTACTGTGAACCGCCTGATCAACACGAGATTAGTTCGGTTGTCAATCGTCTCAAAAAGGAAGAAGTTCTATGAGAAGATGCCATTTCCTCGGTTATTCATACCTATTGTCTCTCCGTAACCCTTCTACCTCTAAACACATTTTTCGTTTGATTTGGCGGACGATTTCCGTCTCTTCTGCCTGCTGTATCCGTATCTTGTATCTGATCCTTGATAGCCGTGAACCATTACGCAAAAATTGTCAGGGATTCAGTCTCATAATTACTATCGTCCAGATCCTCGCTTCTGTACTTCTCGCGAAATTTTTGAAGGCGCGCGACGCTCAAAGAAGACAGTCACGATAGGTTGCGCGGGCCGGGAATCCACTGCAGGTCGCGCCTACTTCCCAGCACCACTGCTTATTTCATTGACTTTTCAGCTGCGTTCCACTCTATCCATCGTACGACACCATAGGATGGCGGTACGCTAGGCAAACATGTAGCGGTCACTCACTAGATCACGCTCCACAGACACTCAAATCACGTAAGAATTCCTGTACCGATTGCAAACTCAATTAGCACATTTTGGCGTCGCCATTGAAACAGTTCATCGTGCCTACCGTGATGCAACCATGGAATTCGAAACCAACTGCGCAAACGTAGAAAAATATTTTCAGCGGTTTGACATGTGGTGTCTAACAACATACGATACGGATGATGAGAAGCCCACGGCGTATTTTCTACATTTTGTTGGCAAGGCGACGCACACATTGGTCGAGAAGTTAGTTTATCCAAAATCTCCAATCGATATTTCATAAAATGCATTGAGGGAAAATGTTCTGCAAGATTTTAAACTGATTAATTTCGTAGCAACCGAAAGACCCAGGTTCAATATTTTGATGCACTCCCATTCTCAGTTGGTTCGTTAGTTTGCATTACAGTTACAGGCAGGAGGCTAAATGTGACTACGGTGCCCAACTAGAAGGTGGACTGTGTGATAGACTCATTGCTGGCATTCAATTCCCCAAGGTGCAACAGAAGCTGCCGCTCTATCTAGGTCAACAAATTTAAACTATTAGGAAAATGTGTGGCCAGTATGAAAATGTAAAGCATTACGAAGACTGATGGAGCAGTGTTGCTAAATTACTCTAAAGGAAATAATTCAAGGATGCACATATACAACATATTCAAACCTCGGACAAATTTTCGTGCTCCAAGTCCATCAATACGTCCCTTCATAGGTTGTAATTCTGATTCAGTGGTTCAAAAAATTTGGGAAACGTAAGTCTTGTGGACGGAATCATTCCAGATGTTTATGTCCTGACAGGCAAGCAAAGTATTTTATCTGCGGGAAAACGCGATGCATTCTGCTTGTCTGCACGTCCAGAAACATGTACCAATCAACTTCTGACCCTAATACTGACCTGAAAGCACTAACTGAACATAGCTCTACTTCTCCATCTATTTTGCCTCGAAAATTGTCACGCGTTTTTAAAACTTTGACATCCGCTTCTGGCCAAAAGCATGAGTTCGTTGTTGACACTCATAGTGTCGAGTCATTATCCCACAGTCATATCTGACTGCATTTTACCCCAGTGTTGTGATGGTGTTTGCAGAAATTAATATCTGTGATACCCCGGGATATTCTGTAACTCTAATTGGTAGTTACATGCTTGCTGTGAGATTTCCTCAAAGTGCGCTTATCGCTTATAATATTTTTAGTTTAAACCCTCGGTACCACCAATTATCGGACTCAAATTTTTGCGCTCATTCCGAACTTGTACCTCCCTATGGACTTCCGTAACTGCGAGTGGAGTAAAACAACGGATACTCAAATTCTTCAATGCTTCAGATGTCATGCAATTTGAAACTCGAAGCTACAGTATAGCCTGTATGTCTCAAGGGACAAATCATTCCATTTGATTTGTGTGAACCTATTCCTCGCGCATTAAGTTCAATGTGTGAGGATGAAATACTGTATCCTTTTGAATCACCAAATTGGGCAACTCCGTTGGTTGTGGAGACTACGGGCTAACATTGACTACACGGTTACTACAACGCACACGCACTGCAGAATAGCTAAAAATGTACGGTCTCGTTTATTAGACTGATGTATATTTCCAAAAATTTATCTAAAGGATACCTACCTTAAGTACCACTGGACGAAGCCTCTAGCATCTTTTATCAGCACAACTTTTCGGCTATTCCGATACAATTTTCTTCACTTTGATCCGAATGACTCACCAGCTGTATCGCTGGAGTTCGTGAATACTGTTAAAATAGCCTTGGTTGTCGTCGAGATGAACCATGATGATGCCATTATGCACGCTGCTGATAAATACATCCATGATATTATTCAATATGCCGTTCATCCTTGTAAGTGCTCTTTTTTAATTGCATCATTTTCATGTCTGGGCTACATTGTGAATGGCAGTGGTTTTAAACCCGATCCAAACCGTCCAACTCCTCCAGCAAA